TCATAAGATACCCATTTATTTTCGGATCCTTTTCATCCCATTTTCAGCTTCCTCCCAGTTGCCCAATGTCCCCTGGAGTTTTCTATCCAAGACCCCCATCTTCTTTTTTTTCCCCTTTCACCCCATTTTTAGCTTCCTCCCAGTTGCCCAATGTCCTCTGGAGTTTTCCATCCAAGATCCCCATCTTTTTTTCTTTTTTCTTTCTTTTTTTTTTTTTTGATACTGGGTTTCACTCTTGTTGCCCAGGCTGGAGTGCAATGGCACGATCTCCGCTCACTGCAGCCTCCGCTTCCCCGGTTCAAACGATTCTCCTGCCTCAGCTTCCCAAGTAGCTGGGATTACCGGCGCGTGCCGGGATTACAGGTGTGAGCCACCGCACCCAGTCCCCCCATCTTCTTAAACGGGTCAATTTCTTGGCTCTTGCATTTTGGCTTTTCCATCATTCCAACTGCCATCCTGTGTCCTGCTCTTTCCCAAGGGTTGCATTCTTACTCTGCTGAATGCTATATTATTGGATTTATGAACAATTGTTAATGTATTGTAATTGTCTGATACTTTGATTTACCAAAATGAACACTTCTATGAGAGTAAGACTTGATCGAACTTGTTTACAATTAGGATCTTCGTGCATATCCTAGTTCTAAGGGATACAGAGCACAAAATATTTGTGAAATGGAACAAGCTTTCAGACTTCATACTAGCATATATCTTTGCCTTATGCCAAAGATGTGAGGATGTGACTAAATATTGAAGTTTTGTTTTGTTATTGAGCCAAGGTCTTGCTCTGTCATCCAGACTGGAGCGCGGTGGTGCAATCATAGCTCAGTGTAACCTCCAACTCCTAGGCTTAAGCGATCCTCCCAGCTCAGCCTCCCTAATAGCTGGGATTACAGGCAGGCACCACCGCACCCAGTTAATTTTTAATTTGCGTGTGTCTGTGTGTGTAGAGACAAGGTTTCAGTAGTTGCCTCCCAAGGTTCTGGGATTACAGGTATGAGCTACCATGTAGGACCTGTTTTGTTTTAATACTTAGTAATTCGGTGTAAAGTCCTCCAAAGAACAGGTGGGGCAGGTGGGAAACTCCCTTTGTTAGTTTGTTTGACCCTCTAGCACCAGGGATAAAATTTCAACTTCATCTTAAAGTGACAACGTACTTTTCCAAGACCAAGTGCGAAACAGTAAAGGGAAGAGCTAGCTCCGTAGCTGTCCGCCACAGAATGCCACAAGCTTTCAATTATGGGACAAAATTGGAACACATGGAAACCCTGTGCAAACTCCCGTGACATCTTCCCTTCTCTCTAAGTCCCTTCCCACAGACCCTGCGCCCTCCACGATTATTCCCCAGGGGCCAAGCTGGACGACTCGGGTCCCACTACCCGGACTCAGCGGTGCCCCCACAAAGGCGTCCGAAAAACGCCGGGGCAGATGTGAAAAGTTGTCAGAGGCCCTCGGGCAGTCCCGAGATCTCCCCCAGGCCAGAGGGCCTGACTCTCCCTAAATGCCATGTTCCCCTACATCGATTGATACTCAGGTTCCCAGAAAAGGGTGGAACCTAGGTTGGACAAGGCGCAGCGCGAAAGTTAATTCTTCTGAGCCCCACCCAGCCCCCAGCACCTCTCCGGGCGGCCCCGTGGGGTAGGGAGGAGCCGGGTCCATCAGACTCCGCTTCCCCCGCTCCGCCCACCCAGGGCTAGGGAGCACCCCAAGAGTTGGCCTCCTCCCACGCTGCGCGCGCACCTACCTGCCCCCACCCCCACCTGCTGGCTGTGCCCAGTGGAACAGAGCCTTGTGTCTCCCCGTCAAGTCCCCGGATGCTCACCTCCCCGACTCGCCCCCGCTGTGGCCCCGCCCCCGCGCGGCTCTTCGTGCCACGTCACCGCCTGCGTCGCTTCCGGAGGCGCAGCGGACGATGACGTAGAGGGACGTGCCCTCTATATGAGGTTGGGGAGCGGCTGAGTCGGCCTTTTCCGCCCGCTCCCCCCTCCCCCCGAGCGCCGCTCCGGCTGCACCGCGCTCGCTCCGAGTTTCGGGCTCCTGCTAAGCTAGCGCCGCCGTCGTCTCCCTTCAGTCGCCGTCATGATTATCTACCGGGACCTCATCAGCCGTGAGTGCTCACTGCACTATCCTTACTGCAGCACATGGGGATCTGGGGTGCGTGTGGGGGCGGGGAAGGCGCCGCCGTCGCGGGCCCTGGGAACTCCGGCGGCCTTAGCCGAGCGCGGAGGGATCGGTGCCCGGGGCTCGCGGCCGGCTCTGTTGCGTTCGGGAGAGGCAGAAGCCGCGTGCGGCCGCCGGCGCGGGAAATGCGGGAAATGGCGGCGCCGGGCGCTCGGTGACGGGCGGCTCTGTGTATCCGGCAGACGATGAGATGTTCTCCGACATCTACAAGATCCGGGAGATCGCGGACGGGCTGTGCCTGGAGGTGGAGGGGAAGGTGAGTCGGTCGGGCCTGCGCGTGGGGGAGGCCAGGCCGAGCGGGCTCGGGTTTCCGCCGCTCCCCCGCCTGAGGTTGTGCAATCCTCCCCGCCGCCTCCTGGCGGAGGAGACGCTCTTTCCGGGCTTGGGTTTTTCTAGAAAACTGGAGGCGGAGCTGATCCTGGAAATAGGCCCGCCGCCTCGGCGCCCATCCTCCTCCCGGGGTTGTCCAGGACACGATGCCTCCCGCTTAGGAGCCCCGAGCCCTTTCGTGTGCGCCGGGTCCCTACTTATCAACCAGACGCACCACAGGCCCGCAACTGGAACCAACTTTTTAATGACCCCATTTTTTGTTCCGGCCAACAGACAACTCTTAAGTTGGGCCATTTTGAGAAATCCACGGGTCACAACTTCATTCCCAAAATAGTGCTTTTTTGATTTTCAGCAAGAACGAAGAATACTTCTTATCCGTGAACTATTGGCTTGGAAGGTGCTTTGGATGTGTTTGTGTCTTTTGCAACTATATTGCTTTTTTTTTAATGCAGATGGTCAGTAGGACAGAAGGTAACATTGATGACTCGCTCATTGGTGGAAATGCCTCCGCTGAAGGCCCAGAGGGCGAAGGTACCGAAAGCACAGTAATCACTGGTGTCGATATTGTCATGAACCATCACCTGCAGGAAACAAGTTTCACAAAAGAAGCCTACAAGAAGTACATCAAAGATTACATGAAATCGTAAGTGATATCGGCAGTACCTAGCTGATGTCTAGAATCTTACGGGATTTAAAGATGGGCTAACTCTTGAGGTTCTTTCGCAGTGGATGGATATACTTCTGTGAAAGTCTTTGCTTTTTATTAATGAGTTCACTGAAAAGAATGGTTGCTTTTCTATAACGTGAGCATACTGAAGCCTGCAGTCTGGTTCCGTTTAGAATTAGAATAGTACTTTGAAAATAATCAACAAGAAATGTAAACATTCTTGAAGGATACTTCTGTGAACTAGTAATGTCTTAACAGCTGGTTGCCTTTTTCAATGTTGTCTTTTTTTAAGCTTGGGTATTTTTTACTTTAAAAATTGATTTTACTGAAAATTCAGTACTTCAACCTGTTAATGAAATGTTGTTTTAGAATCAAAGGCAAACTTGAAGAACAGAGACCAGAAAGAGTAAAACCTTTTATGACAGGGGCTGCAGAACAAATCAAGCACATCCTTGCTAATTTCAAAAACTACCAGGTAAATACTTTAAGTATTTGGATCAAAGGATTGTACAATTTTAACTTCAAGAGCAAAAATTAAGTTGGTTAATCTTCAATTCTATACTAGTATTCAGGGTGTAGAAAGTGGCTTTCCCAGCTCTCAGGTGTTTCCAAATCCTGTCGTCTTGATTGAAAATTTGCTTCCCAGATGACATTTCTCAGTTTTTCTTTTCCTGAATTGCTTAACCACCTAAGTGTTCTTTGTTTTCTGTTTACAATTCTCATGTGTCTCATTGCTACTGGTCCTCCTCGTGATATATCTGAGCTTGTTAATTCTACTTTTGGAAAATATCAGTGGCTTTCCCTTTCCTCTAATTTTCCAACTTCATGCATTCCCTGGCCATAAGATACTTCCAAACTGTATGGTATATTCTATCACTGTCAGCCTTATGTTCCCTTACAAGCGTGCTCTAGGGTTTGGGATTGTATTTAGGACTGAGAGAGTAAAGGTTTCCAGAAAGCCTGGTGTTCCTGGATTGCTCTGTACATTATTTTTCTATTTAGGTCACTAGTAAGGTGCCTTAATCCAGTGAACAGGTGTTTATAATAAGTGGGTACTGGAGTTCTCCTGATTTTTGTGGTGTGCTAAACCTTCCCTTGTACTGTAGGGAATGGCATGTACTTGTATGTAATGGTCTAATTCTAGGTGTTTTGTTTGCTTCCCAAGTTCTTTATTGGTGAAAACATGAATCCAGATGGCATGGTTGCTCTATTGGACTACCGTGAGGATGGTGTGACCCCATATATGATTTTCTTTAAGGATGGTTTAGAAATGGAAAAATGTGTAAGTACAAGGGGGAGTGGGTTAAAATCAGTAATGTAAAAAAAAATGAAGATATTTTAGATGTGATTTCCAATTGTTTTGTGACACTGAGATAGAATTGAGTTTTACAGCGTTCTGAAACATGGATTTAGTTTTCTCTTTGGGGATCAAGAGAATTGTGTTTCATATGTAAAAGATTCTTAGGGTATAAAAAGGCTTAGGACCTTGTTTGTGGAAAACATTGAGTGCAGATGGAGCATAATAAAGTACAGTTTAGGCTGGGTGTGGTGGCTCACACCTGTAATTTCAGCACTTTGGGAGGCAAAGGTGGGTGGATCACCTGAGGTTAGGAGTTCGAGACAAGCCTGACCAACATGGCAAAACCCTATCTCTGCTAAAAATACAAAAATTAGCCAGGCATGGCGGCGGGCACTTGTAATGCCAGCTATTCTAGGGGCTGAGGCAGGAAAATCACTTAAACCTGGGACGGGGGTTGCAGTGAGCTGAGACCCCCCACTGCACTCTAGCCTGGGCGACAGTGAGGCGCTGTCTCAAAAAAATAAAGTACAGTTTGAATGCTGAAGGAGATCAGAGAACACCATTGATCTTCCTGTAGATACGGCCTCGCTTTCACTTCATAATCATGTTTTGTTATATACATATGGATCAGTATCAGTGTTTTTCACTTTGGTTTGCTGATAATTGGCAGCTGATCATTGAAAGCTTAGTGCAGTACTAGCTTTTAAGTAAATAGAGCTGACTGCTGAACTGGTATGCAAATTGCTTTACTAATATAAGTAACTCAGTGTCTCCTATGGAAGGAACTGCTGGAAGCTGTATAGAAACAAAGGCATTCTTTATCCTAGCTTTCATAGGCTTCTGTATAAATTAGGAAGAAGATAAACATAAGGCTATACTGAACAAGCAAGATCGAGAGTCAACAATAGACAGATTACTTAGAACAGTGTAAGATGACTTACCAAAGGGGTTATTCAGAGAGTATCTGAGGTTTTTGTTGGTAGAGCAGGGTGTGGGTGGTACATGCCACAGCCTTCTGGAAAATGAACTACCGCTGATTTGGTAAGGGTATTCTGCATCCACTGATAGACCTTGAACAATTTACTGTTGTTCTTTTGGTTTGCACTAGGATGCAAAAGAAAAATCCCTGCGCTTTCTGTCTGTCTTTGTGGCGGCCCAGATTGAATTGGGGAATACATCTATAGCCTAGAAATATAGGCTATGTTAATGGTAATGTAATTTTTGCAATGTAATGTTTGAAAAACATTAATACAGTTTTTGTTTTTACAGTAACAAATTTGGCAGTTACTTTGGATCTATCACCTGTCATCATAACTGGCTTCTGCTTGTCATCCACACAACACCAGGACTTAAAAGACAAATGGGACTGATGTCATCTTGAGCTCTTCATTTATTTTGACCGTGATTTATTTGGAGTGGAGGCATTGTTTTTAAGAAAAACATGTCATGTAGGTTGTCTAAAAATAAAATGCATTTAAACTCAAATATTTGAGAGAATGCCTTTTAGTTTAATGCATAGTTAAATTCATCCTGTAGTGTTCCTGGAGGAGCTAGAGCCTGGTTGTAGGCTACTACTCATCAATTAACTTCTACAGTGGAGACTGCTTCTGGGACTGGAATATAAAAAAGAATCAAAGGTTTTGATTGTGAGTTGCAATAAAGGGAAAGACCATGCTCATAGCAGTGCCAACATCTGAAGTGTGGAGCCTTACCCATTTCATCATCTACAACGGAAGTAGTTAACTGGAAGAGATTACCAAGAAAATAAAAAGAGACTCATTCAGTGGAAGCAACTTTGTCTCAGCTTATTAACATAGAACCAAATCTGTTGGGATGAATGTTAAACTCCCTGGTAACTAGAGCACAGGGACTGGCAAACTAGCCTGTCTGACCACCTGTTTTGTACACTTCAAGGTGGTTGGTTGCCTTTTTAAATGGTTGAGGGGAAAAGAATATCTTGTGGGATATGGAATTTAAGTTTGTGTCCAGTTTTTTTGAAACGTGGCTATGCTCATTCGTTTGTGGATTGACCGTGGCTGTTGTCGCTGCATGAGCAGAGTTGTGTCTAAGACTAGAGCCTGTGAGTTTGCCAGCCCCTGATTTAAAAGATGAAGGTACACAGAATGTGGGCTGGCTGGTGGGCAGAGGGGTAAAAATATTCTCTATATTGTATCTGAAAAGATTGGGTGTGTGAATGAATAAGAAAATGCATCTATTTGACAGACCTGGAGCAGTTACTACCTGCTGCTAAGGTTTCCACTACAGATGCAAGAAAAACATGTCCTTGCGCTTTCCGTCTGTCTAATTTGTGGCAGCTGAGATTGAATAGAGGAATACAGGAGAAAAAACAGGAAGAGGTTTTTTGAGGAGGGTCGGTCACCCAGGCTTGGAGTGCAGTGGCACAAGCAGCTCACTGCATTCTCTGCCTCCTGGACTCAAGCCGTCTTCCCACCTCATCCTCACTAGTTGCTGGAACTATAGGCATGCACCCCTATGCCCAGCTAACTTTGTAGAGGTCAAGTATCACTTAATTGCCCAGGGTGGTCTCAACTCCTGAGCTCGAGATCTGCCCACCTCAGCCTCCCAAAGTACAGGCCCAGCCTGGAAGGGGAATTTTCAAAACGTGAGTTTTGGGAAATAGTTCCTACCAGCCTTACCTGGTTGATGACACTTGTGAAAGAAAGGTTAAAAGCAAGCCAGTGACTCTGGTCTGTTTGAACATGTGAATGCAGTGGTTTGAGCAATCTGGAGTTTGCCCTAGTGTCAAAATTCCAGACTATGTCCGTAGTGTCCAAAACCTGAGGCAGATATTAATCATGTTAACCCCCACCCCTGTGATTGGAAACAAACCTAAGTAAGTATTGGAAACTTAAAACTTTATAGCAATTTTAAGCATTCTGATAGTTTTTTTGTAGGGATGGGGACATGCCATGTGACCCAGGCTGGTCTGAAAACTGGCCTCAAGTGATCCTGCTTTGGCCTTCCAAAGCGTTGGGATTACAGGTGTGAGGCATTGCACCTGGCTTAGCATTCTGATTTGACATTGTAATGAAAAGTGTTGAGTCTCATCTGCAGGGCCTTTTGTCCTCTGAAACTGTAGCAGGAAGGGAGTTTTCAGGCAGTGGTCAAAGCTGGGATAGTGGAGAGGACCTTGAGGTGAGAGATGGAAGCTAATTGGTGAACTAGCCTTGGAAGCCTGAAACAGCAGACAAGTAGCAATTCAGAGGCTTTGTGGGCTCCACCGCTCCGATTTGTTTTGAAAATGTTCGGTTCTGCAAGAAGAGCCCCTGTTTCCCAAGTTGTCTTTTGCTCTTAGCTGTTTTCCCAACATCCAGATCCAATCAAGGTTGGGACATAGCATTTTATCATGTGTATTTAAGCCAGAAGTGATCAACCCTGGCAGTTTACCTCATAATAAACCTTTGAAGATTCCAGATAGAATCTTCTCAGACCTTGAAGGCTGCCTCGTTTTATGTCTTTTTCCTGTTATTCCTAGGGTCAAGATGTTTTGGGCAAGAATAAGGACGTGCACATCAGAAAGCTCATAACATTTTCTTTGAAGCAAGTTTAATACAGGCATGCTTTAGTAGCCTGTGGGCCCTCGGGTTTGTTCAAGTTCTCCAGAGTGGAGCCAGAGGTGTTAGAGGACTTTTCTAGGAAGATCCTTGTAATGTGACATTTGAAAACAAACGAAGGTGTGGAAGGTGTGCCATGTGGATATCACGACAAACCATTCCAGGCCAAGACAACAGCAATTGGTCTAGAGTGTGATGTTTTCTGGGAAGAATGTGGCTGCTTTGCTAACCCAAGAAGACGGGAAGGGTTGTAAAGCAGCGTGAGTGTGTAAGAAAGGAAGACCAGACCTCAAAACCACAGGCGCTCTGAGCAGAAGAGTTACATGATACATCTCAAAATTTTCAAAGGATCACTTGGGCTGCCAGGTAGCAGGGTAAAAGCATAGAATAGTTGTGTATAATGTGTTTTTAAGGCAAAGATGATAATGGTTTAGTCTAGGGTAGTAGACTGAGGTGGTAGGAAATGGAAGATAGAGACAACAGGATATGCTAATGGGTGAAAGGATGGATTTCATGTTGATACCAAGTATTTTGGTCTGAGCATTTGGAAGAAAGGAGTTGGCACTGAGATGGGAAATTGAGTTTTGTTTGTTTTGGATGTGTTAAGTTTGAGATGCTGATTCTTCAGAGAAGTCAAAGCTGGAGAACTATATAGAGAGTTGGAAGATATCAATAGACATTAACAGTCATGATACTGGATAACGTCATTTGGAGAGTGAGGATAGACTTTGCATTCCAACATGAGATTGGTTGACACAAAGAGAAACCAACAAAAGTAATTAAGAGGTGCTCCCACTGCACTTGTACTCAGAAGGCTGAGGTGGTAGGATTGTTTGAGGCCAGCCTGGACATCACAGGGAGACCCCATCTCAAATTTAACCAGGCACCGTGGCTTATGCCTGTAACCCCAGGACTTTGGGAGGCTGAAGAGGGAGGATCACTTGAGGTCAGGAGTTTGAGACCAGCCTGGGCAACATAGCAAGACCTAAAAAAATTAATTGGGCATCTGTAGTCCCAGCTACTCAGGGGGCTGAGCCCAAGAGGTTGAGGCTGCAGTGAGCTGTGATCATACACTACACTACAGTCTAGGCGACAGCGAGACGCTATCTCAAAAATAAAAGTTTAAAATTTTTTTAAGAAAAGAAGGAACTGCCCCTGAGGTAAAAACCAAGGGAGGGCCTCCCAGAGGTCAGGTGCAAAAAGTTTTAGGAAGGAGGAAGCAGTCAACAGGGTTACCTGTTGCAAAGTACTTAAGTAATATGAGGACTGATGGTGGAAACTTGACTATCGTTGGATTTCACTAGTGGGGAAAAAAGCCTAATTAAAATGCACTCGAGACTAACAGTCGCGGGTATGAAATATAATACAGGTACATGGTTTTTTATTATGTGTGCATCTGCTTCAGTGATAGGAGTGAATTACTCATTTGGATCATTAGGAGTTTCAAAATCTAGTTAAGTCACTAGATTTGCGTTGATGTAAATTCATTCTGAACTGCAGCGACTGTCAGTAACTTACTGCAGACTAAACTGGTGATGATAATTATGGTAAAATTGCAAGATGAGCAATAAATCTCAACCAACTTGAGAAAACACTGATAACAAAGCATCCTTAAGGATATATGTGTGTGCACACAGGTGGACTGGAGTGACTGGCTGGCAGCAGAATACTCAGTAAAATGGAACTAAAACCTGGAGAATTTACTAATTTATAACTGGTAGGTCACTACTACACTAAAGAAACACATGCCAATTCCAGCTTTGTGGTAATTGGCATGTGTTTCTAGAGACTATAAGAACTGTGAGTGCAACTTGAGGTTTCTGGAAACATTTAATGTTTCATTATTCCAAAGGAAAAGGCCTTGATTAAAGTGTTTTTAACATAAAGCAAGTAAAGAAAAAGGTGCCATAGCTAGGCACAGTGGCTCATGCCTGTAATCCCAACTACTTGGGAGGCTGAGGAGGGAGAATCACTTGAGCCTAGGAGTTTGAGCTTGGGGTGAGTTAATGGCTGTAACACTGCACTCCAGCCTGGGTGACAGAGGGAGGCCTTGTCTCTTGCAAGAGAGAAAAGTGCCACATACTTTCCATTAAATAGAAGTTGGCTGCTATGCTAGCCATCTCAATTGGCTACACTCTAAACGTGGAGCTTGCAGATAAGTTAAAAATCATAATAGTGCTGATAGTTTCTATTTATCCCACTGAAATCCTCCAAGTCTATCCCTTAGTCAATGCAGCAATGATAAATCAGGCCCCTGTGCATGTCAGCAGTTCAAAACAGATTTTACTACTGTAGGGGCAGATTTTTAACTACCAGAACATTCCAGTTTATTTTTTGAGAGCCTGTAGATTTGTGCAGTTACACATAGTTTCAAATAATTGAGCCTGGAAGTTGGCATTGAAGTTTCCTTCCTATGCTGGGCCATGAGAACCTTTGGGAATGGATGTGGTTTTAGCTGGAGTCAATACAATTCAATGAGAGAAACGTCAAATATGAGTTTAGGGGAAGATTCTTTCCAGGATAACTTGTGCAATGATGTTTCCCTCAATTACTTTCTCCTCCATTCATTTATATATGCATTCCACTCTTAGACTCTGAGTTCAGAGGTAGAACAAGGAGCACAAATTGGGGAGAACACTACGGTGCTGTTTTGTGTGTGAGTCACAATCTACAGACAAAGAAAAATTGAGACATCAAGGGACTCACTGGAGGGGCCCTCTGGGACACAAGTCACAATTATTACTTAAGAGTTATAATACAGTGTTTTTAATAATGGGACAGTAGAGCTACTAGCTACCATTCAGTCCTGAGTTTCTGGGTTTCTTTTTTTTTTTTTTTTTTTTTTAGAAAGTCAGGGTCTTGCTATGTTGCTGGAACTAATCTCAAACTCCTAGCCTCAAGTAATCCTCCTGCCTTTGGCTGCCAAAGTGCTGGGATTACAGGCATGAGCCACCACACCTAGTTACTAGAAATCTAGTTGTTGGCCAGATGTGGTGGCTCACACCTGTAATCCCAGCACTTTGGGAGGCTGAGGCGGTCAGACCACTTGCGCAGAGGAGTTTGAGACCAGCCTGGACAACATGGTGAAAGCCCATTTCTATAAAAAATAGAAAAAAAAAAATCTACTTGTATAGTTGTTGATTTTCTCCACGTGTAAAGAAAGCAGATAAGTCCTAGTTTATTATCGAATGCGGCTTGCACATGACCTCCTCTAGAGG